CTAATTAAGCAACGAAAACTAGCATAGTTCAAGATAAACACAGGCACTGGAAAATGCTTTTACTTTTGATAATGAGGTTACCTTTTTGTCTTCTCCTTTTAATTCTGCAAATGATGAGTAGAACACTCAAGAAGATAAGAAGGGCCACAACTGAAACAGCAGAAGCAACAATGGGAAGAACCGTTGTCTTACTCTTATTTTCACAAGTATCTGTGAGGCATAGATTTGGATTTTCAGCCAAACTGTGATTGATTGAGTACAGCGAAAATCATCAGAGTTAGATGTCTTCAAAAATGAAAATCCAATTTAAACAGACATTTTAATTTGCTAGGCAGAAACATAAATCAAACCTCAGCCACAGAGTTCCATTTTCAGACTTTTCCTTTAAAACCTGAGGAATAGGGCCTGTCAGCTTGTTCGCGGACAAATTACTGCAAGGGAAGTGTGAAATGTAATATTATTAACTCTATGATGACCAAAAAATCACAAACAGTAATACATTTTCCAACATACAGGATTTTCAACTTTGGTAGCTGGGCTAAAAATTCTGGCACTGGTCCAGTCAACAGATTATATGATAAATCCCTGAAACGTAGAGAATAAACAAATTCAATCAGCCTAGAGACCAACTATAGCCTGAGAAATCATCTCTAAAAATGTTTCTTTGGATTCTTAAAGCTAGGTTATTGTGTTCTAATAACAATTAAGGTTGGTCAATTTTGAATGTTTATTTATATTACATAAAATCACCAGAATCAAATACAAAAATCACTACTTACATGGATTCAATTGCTTTGAGATTGAAGAGTGAAGAATCAATCTCCCCTTCCAAGTTACTTGACCTCAAATTCCTGGTTCAAAGCAATCATATTGGTATATAAACATTATCATGCACTGATTCATTTCTCAAGGTCAAGAATAACTATAGAGATTGACTCACAGAGCGATGATTCTTGGAGAACTGTCATAGCTGCAATTCAAGCCATTCCATGTATAATCTCTTGGTAGACACGGATCTCCTTGCCAATCATCTCTACTTATCTTATACTTTTCCTTGATTTCCATGATAGCATCAACTGCATGCCAATAATTCAACAACCAAAAAAATGAGAACGGAATTTTCCAATTTTGGTTCTAAGGTCAATGTCAGCAATTCAAATGGTTGCAATTAAATTAACCAAGCATCCTAACTTATTTGGAAAAGAAAAAAACAAAATCTCGTGGAGCATAATACTATTGAGGAAGAAAGGAGAAACATAAAGCTTACTGTCAGCAGGGTCGGTTGGTGACACAGGGGCTGTGACAACCATATAAATCTCAAAGGCATTGAGAATAGGAGGAAGCTCAGACTCAGGCGTGGCATCAATGGAAAAGTTGATGTATCCTCTGATTGGAGATGTTTGAGGTCTTATTGTCACCGGCTTCAAGTATTCAAGTGTGATCGGCTCATACTTGACACCATTCAATGTAATGCTGAATGCTCTTGGTTTACTTTTTGCAGTCTTCTCTATTTCAGCAAAGTGAAAATAGACATAAGTATCAGTTCCATCGTTTGCTAAGTTCAGCGTATATTTCAATGAACCAGAGCCAAGCAGTGGCTGTGCAGCCGTTCTCAACACTTCATCTGGGAGTCTGTAAGTGTCATTGCTTCCGGACCAATCTAATTCTGATGTTGAACCTGGGTTCGGAAATTCTTTGATAGACCAAATCCGATCATACACATCATCCTTGTACCTATTAGATAACATAAGAAGGCCGATTTTCAGACCACTATGCCACCTTTAATGTCCTAAGCTAGTTGTCCTACTCCTATATAAAACGAAGGAATTATAGAAAATTCACCTGACTGTCTTGGATCTATCACCCAAGAAACTGCCATTGATCGCATCAAATCTTCCCAGACTTGCATAAACATTGGAATCAGTCTGATAGATTGCATTGTCTATAACTCGTAGTTCCAATCCAGAAATGACAGGTACCCCAGAACCAGTGTTTACCAGGCAGACATGTATGGTATCAACGGTAGAAAAAAACATCCCTTCGGTAAAGTACCAAGTGGATGCGACTGCATCTCGGAGGTCGATCGTCAGCAGGTAATTGACGCCAATATACAGATCATACTTGGGGGCTTGGTTCCGGGCGTCATAGTTTCCGTACTGGTTGTAAATCCTGATCAAATAATGGTTGTCTTTGCCCTGTTCAGGTTTAAGGTTGTAACAGTTCTTCCTTCCTTGTGGGAAGCTTCTAAGGTTCTTCAACATCCGGCCAAACTGGGGATGGCTGGCGGCGTACTCCGGTTGTACCTCCTTATTCTCTCCAGTTGTTATGAACCCCGAATCCGACTTGTAATAAATACCACTTTCCTCATCGAGGTAATCCTCAGCTGCTCCGCAATCGATGCTTATAAAACCTTAATTTAAAAAGTTCGTTAAAAAGTACGGTTGGAATGTATCAGAACAAATGTGTACAGACTACAGAATAAATTGGGTTAAACTTGACAAATTTTCAGGACAAGAGGGTATGAAACGCAGATGTTAATACCTGGTCTGTCTGTGGCAAGCTTTCTTCCTTCGGTATGTTCAGCATCTGTACCCGAACAGGATTCCACCAGTAAAAAGATCATCCATAGTTTGAGAAAAAATGGAAATGATTGTCCAATAAAGACAATCCATGTTGGCGTTTTTCTTACCATTCTTATTCAGATAATCAGTTAGTTTGAAATCTTCTAAGAGGCACTATAAAGAAAAGCTGGGGTGAGATGAATTGGTTGAACTTGTTATGAATACATATGGCAGTAGTAGTACATAGCAAACAACATGGTCCAGTTGGCGTGCTTTGACTCTAATGCTATATCAATTCAGGACTACGTGTTTAATGTGGATATACATGGGTGATTTGAGATATTTTTACGCGTTGTTGATTAATTTCAAGGATTCAGGGAGATGCATCGCATCTATTGATTCAAGATTGAACTGCTGAAACTTGATATCAGTTAGGGCCTGTTTGGTGGGTTACTGGAGCTTTTATTTTTTTTTAATATTATTTATGAGTGATAAATTTAAATTTTTATTAAAGAAAAAATTTAAAAATTTTTACGCGTTGTTGATTAATTTCAAGGATTCAGGGAGATGCATCGCATCTATTGATTCAAGATTGAACTGCTGAAACTTGATATCAGTTAGG